ACTGCAAAGCAAATAACTGATCTCCTAGAATAACTCAAGTAAACTTCCAATGCTGTCATCCCCAAGACAATCAAACATCCTGTCCATGTATGTGATTATGACAGTAAAATAGTGGTAAACCAATACAAGACTGGGGGGATAGGAAAGGGGGGGATAGGAAAGGCAAAAGGAGAGAAAACAGAAAAATCCTAGCTGCATTTTCCATTCTCCAACCTTTCCTAACTTAGTTGCTAACACTGCTTAACTGTCTCAGTGATGGGACACTGTTTTGCTTTAATATAGTACCTCAACAACAGACTCATTAGGAATACAATTGAATAAAGTAGGAAAATATTTGCACATGCATCGTACATAAAGATAAGGTCTTACACCGAACTCTACCCCTCTTCAGCGACAGTATTCAAACCTTTATGCCTACCAAAAAGGGAAAAAAGAAAAGAAAAAAAAAACCCTTAATCAGTACCTGTATTTGAGACTTAAAATGTCAAAAGAAGCAGCATGCAAAATTTAGTCACACAATTTTTCATTCTCACTTGATCAATCAAAATGCAAAATGTGATGTTCACGCAAAGGAAATACTGAAGATCATGTATAATAGTTGACTCCAGCCTGCAAAGATTTGTATAGAATGTTTCCAGAGGAGTTGTATGAAAACACACCACTAAAACCTATTGTTTCATCCAAAAATTATACCAAGAAAAGCGTGTTGCACAGAGCAACAAATTCTGATCATTTTCAAGACTGCACTCTGATGACAAACAGTTAAGGCACAACCCCTTCACTTATTCTGATTCCTCAAAGTTCTCCAAACGTCCTGTTTTGCTTGCTTAGGCCCTACCTTCCTCCACTTCAACCACAGGGAATTTTTAGTATGAGATTCTTATCCTATTGAACAATTTTCTACTAAAAAGTATATTTTATTCATAACCTATAGCCAAATACGATAATTTGAAGAGCATACAAGTCCCTAGACATTTTTTTAGTACTTCTTTCATCCTTACATGCTCAAGGCAACATTTCTAGACCTTCTGCAGAAATGACGATCTAGATTATTTTATTGCCGCACTCACTGTGATCTTTTTAGATCCGGTAATTACTCAATCATATAGTCCCTGCAGAGCTAAACAGACATATCTTCTTCAGAAGTGGTCAGTTCACACACAGTACTTAATCTCAGAAAGTTTGTTCCTTTCACATTAATGGCATTTCCTACTATGGAATCAAGTTACCATAAACCAAAAAACGTTACTGTTAAAAAAGTCCCTTGAGATCATAAAAGAAGATTATACTGTTAAATAGGGAAGTTTGTGCACGGCATTGAACCTAGATTTAATACCATCTTAAGAAACCTGAAAATTAAATGAAAAACAGTAACTTTTTCCCCATTAATGTCTCAACCAAAAGTAAGTGTGTTACCAACTTTAAAGAAAGTCTCACTATTTCAATTTTTTTTTCAAGTGTTTTGGTATCCTTTGGTTTCTAACAGATCAAGACATACATATTTTCCACTACACACATTCTTCAAAATACAGATGGAAGGGGAGTAAGAATTTAGAAGATATAACATTGTTATACAATGTACTATACAAAAACCTGTCATTTAAGTGGCAAGAAACCTACTCATCAATAAGTGAAAAAATATCCCGCTCAAAAATCAATTATGTGGAGTCTTTTGTATAGAGAAGTAGTACACCTTTCAGGCAACTGGTATTAATGAGCAGACATGGCTATAGAATCTCCATCTGTTTTTCTGACAAAGCTGTGACTACTCCAGTCTCTCATTGAAATTCCATTAATCTGGTGCACCAAGGACCAATGCGAAAATCAAAACTCCATCTAACCCTTTATCAGCTCACAATAACCTACAAGTGAACTCTGCCTGTTAGCATACAGCAAGTTATGATTTTGCTATCAATCAGGCTGTTAGCCAATAAAAAAAAAAAATCAAGTTAAGAATGGAGTGCCTGGCTGTGCTGTTTTGTTTTGTCTGTCTTGTTTTTGGGTTTGTTATTTTATTTGGGGGTTTTGTTGTGTTTTATCCCTCTTCCAGTTTCTGTAGGGTGTCTGGACATGTAAGCCTATGCATCATTCTCCTTCCTTGTGATTTAATTGCTGCCAGCAATCAAGTCAAAGCATCACTGAAGTGTGCTTGAATTTCATTAGAAGATATAACTTATGCTACTTTCCTACAGTACCTAATAAACCATAAAGAAACCAAAACACATATGGCTTGAGGGAATAACTGGAAAATTAGGTGGCCATTTGGGAACTGAGTGAACTTTTGAACCAGAGGAACAGAGAAAAAGAAATATTAAAAGGAAAGACAGACTTAGAATGCACATAGAGACGTGGGGGTTTGACCTTTTCAGTACCTAGAAAATTACATTAGCATTATGAAAAATACATATCATGTTTAGAGTTTATAATCCATCAAAGTTTAGATACTTTGTTAGGGCCTACCATAAGGTAAAAGTCAAAAGGACAACATAACAATCAGATTTGACAAAAGGCCTTTAGGTGACCTGTGCTAATTTAGTTATCCCATACTTATTGTTAAATGGATTATCTCTCTTGTAATTAATACACCATTAGATAAAGGTCACACAAAAACTCCAGGATTTTACAATGACTGTAATGTACATGTAATACACTAATTCTTTATCTGTTACCAAGCGGGTGCCTTCACAAATTATGTTTTGACAGTAACACTGCAAAGTCAATTAGCAACACTTTCAGAACTCGTACAAACCTTGCAGTCTAACTCCAGTATCTAAAGGTAAATGCCTGTTTTGTGGGCGGTTTTGTTGCAAAAAAATTATATAAAAGGTTTTACATATAAATATCAATTAACTCATACATAAAAAAACAACACCTCTATTTGGTTACCTACAGATAGGCCGGCCTCCAGCTTCTTTAGTAGGATTTAAATATTGAACATTAACAGACTGCTAATAAACAAAATTACAGTCATAAGCTTCAACAAACCCATTCATACCTATGAGAACTGAAAGAAATGGCACCTCCAGGGATCAATCCACCTCTTATAAGATTCTCCCAATATGTATTTTCATACATAGTCTAGGTGGCTAGACTTGAACAATGGACTACACATGCTAAAATCAAAATGGTCTTAGAATGACGCATCAGACATTCAAAGAAGAAAACAGAAACACTCCTCCAATAAATGTAAGTATTCACAGATCAAAATCTACCACATTCTCGCAACTCTTCCTTGTGCTGTGCTCCCACTAGATAAGTAAAGAGGATTTATCATAAAACGTGGAAAGTCCAGTGAGGTAAAATCATCTTAAATACAACAGAATCACACCCACTATACTTCTATCTAAACTGCAACAAATTAGCCAAGATATTGTTGGGCAGCTATTATATGTGCTCTCATATAATTGTAACTTCTAAAATAGGCTAAAAATTAATCACCCATCTGTACAAGCTCATATAGTATTTCACATATTCTTGCATCAGCATTCTTCAGCCATTCATTATTTAGGTTTATGAACATTATCACTTTTTTCTTGATTAACTGTTTTGAAACAAATCTATAATCATACCTCCTATTAAGTAGTCATACAATTTTGTCACATACCCTTTATGCAATCAGTACCGTGTTATTAAGTTACAATTAGAAATAATGTTAAGATTATGTTTGTAAGCAAAAATAAATACATTGAAAGCTGCATTCATCTGTAGTTCGGAAAATTAGCTTGGGTTTTCTAAAAGCCGTATTCAATTTGACTGATAATTACATTTCAGCCAGCAAGCCAAACGACTTGTTTTTATTTTTTTAATAGTAGGTCACATTGCCAAAATGCAAAAAAGCTCAACATTAAAAAAGTGTTATTATTATTGTTACACATTTTGCAGAGTTCTGGATACAAAAAAAAATTGTGTTATTTTGAATCAGTGGTTAGAAGGTTTATCACTTATGCATGTACTTGACTTATCCCTGTTCTGCAATAGACATAATTTTATACCTCATAAAAGCAATTTATGTTTCCAAAGGGGGTAATATGGATAACATAAAATGTGGAGTGCTATGTTGCAGGAAGCATATTTTCATTCAGCAATTGTATTTTGAGATGGACTTGCACAGTTTGATCATCATATCATGTCAGAAAACATCATTCACTAGTAAGTCTATCTAACTTCTAGTGCCACAAATTAATATATATCGTTAATCTATTTGTACATCTACTTAATTTATGGCCATATATTATCCATAGAGGGTATTTATATTGTATTTACAATAAACGAATCTCAAAAATACGGACACTATGCTAAAGCAAGCTTGTTAACTGTTGAAATATTCAATTGTTCATGTCTTCAGAACAGCCCCATTTAGCATTAAATTTAATGAATACAAAATAAAACAACATGGAAAACAGCGATGAAGCCTAGTGTTTGGGGCTTTTTTAATGCAAACTCAAATCTAAAATTTATACAATGAAAACATTCTACAAAAGACTGTCTTAATGGAAGGAAACATTGTAGGAATAATTAATTTAATATTTTATGAACCTATTCTGCATGGAGTTTGCAGAAAAATATCAATCACGTAAACCGTTTCATTATTTATTAGATAAATAATACAGTAAGCCATTAAGTAGCACAATAAAATTAAGCAAGAATCTGATAATGTTGAATTAACAAACAATTTGTTACTACAAATATTCACACTGTTTTAGCCACTGATCTATTTTTTAAAACACAGGCATCTACAGAAGACGTTTTGTTACAAAAAAACGTGAGTTTAAAAAAAAAAACACAGAAACTTGAGGCAGCTTCACTATGCTCTAGGACCACTAGAGAGAGCTCTTCAGTTCCTTTAAAGGTTCTTGTAAAAGTAAGAAAACTGTCCAGCTGTGATGCTTATCTCTTTATCTGATTTCCAACACTAACATTCTCATCACGAGGATCCGATTACACGAGTTTGTAGCAAACTGGCAAATCTAGTATGTTCTAAGGTAAACAGTATCACATACCATCAGAAGGTGCTTCATCGTCTTTATCGTACCGGTCAGATGCTATTGAGACACTATCAGGAGGCGAAGAAAAAGAGCCCTCAGATTCTTCCTCATCTTCCAGTTCTGTAAAAGCCACAAACACATTGATAGTTAAAATGGTCTACCGTACAGTCACAGACAGAATCCAAAGACAAATATTTTCATTAGTAATGAGGACACCAATTCCCATCCGAAACGCACTTTGTCCGCTCCAGCTACCTGCGCGTCGCTGGGGCGGCTTCCCTAGCCGCTGCCATACAATCAACCCTGACCACTTCTCACACTGGGACAGGGGGGAAGAAACCCACACCACAGCCAAGAGGTGGACAAGGGAAAACACGAGCAGGAGGAGAAGCAGACTGCCTGGCTCCAAAGTTCTGCCTGTCCGTGGTGCGGGAAGGGGCTGCAGCAACTTCCCTCCAAGCAACGGCCAAACTGCTGTTGGCAGCGGCTTGTCGCCCTCTGCCCACTTTCACTTCTCTTCACCATAATTCAGCGCTACTTTGCAGATGTTGTATGTGTATGTTTATTCCTCCCACGAAACTAAAAATGGAACCGCCTTCTGACAGCTCCGGGTCTGAACCTGTGGCTTAATGCAGGATTCTGCTGATGAATTTCCTATGCAGCCCTACTACAGTATATACCAAACCTACATTATTAGCTAACCTAGGCACTATGTTGATCAGAGTGCATTAAGTGTGAAGGTCAGGGAAAGGTAAACTGAAATCAATATTAGTTGAGGCTTAATTTAATTACACAGAATTTAAGTTCTCCCACCCAAAACTCACCATCTTTTCTGAGATTTATTCTTTTTTAATACCATCTAGGTAAAGAAACATGTTAAAAATCACCAAATCAAAATCATAATGCTCCAATAGATCAAACTACCCTCAATTTTCTCAAAAAGTATATAAAGCTAAATTGCTCAAGCATTGCCTTTTGGTATATTCATATGCAGAAAACTTTCCAGAGACCTCCAGACATCCTTTTCTATTCACATGCTCCCTGTCGGAGCACTATATCAGATAACTAATTTCTCAGAATCCAAAATAAACCCCATGCACAGTGAAAATATTCTTCTCCACAGACATATGAATTGCATTCATCAGTAGGACTGCCTAGCCATGGCTGAGAATTTTACCCCTTTGTTTCCCATTTAATAATGGTAAGTCACGGAAAATTCAGAGTCCATGCCCAAAAAGCACATTAGCTGTTAGCAAAGAACAGCAAGTGATCTATGCAGGTAAGACAACAACGCCTGATTTTTAGTTTGCTGGAGTTCTTTTACATCCCAAAATTGTTGAATACCAGATTGGGTTTCCCTTCATTAATTTAATATGCTTTTCTTGATAAAGCTTCCTTTTAAGCTCCCATGCCATATAACAACTGCTTTTAATCTGAACCTAAGTCCAATCTATTTTTGAGATGGCCATCTTCCAGTAGCACTTCAGCCATCATGTTAATCTGATCAAAATATTTACATTTCATCACACCTGTCAACCGAACCAAAAGTAAATTATCCCTCTGCAGGATTCACTTCTTCCTCCAAACAGAAAACCAGAGAGCAGATAGCACATGAACAGATAATATTATGCCATATTTACAACCAACATGATCATCTTTCACACTTACATGCCAGAGACCAGTTGCCTGTCTCTGTCTATATATATAACTTTATTAGACAGACTCCATATAAAAAGAGAAGACATGATATTCACAACCTATACAGTATCAAAAGTTGTTCCACTCTTTTTACCATCCTAAACTTTTACCAGTACTAGAATGCATAGAATATATGTATACAAACATATGCATGTGTGTCTATATATAATCCCTGTTTGTCAGTCAAAAATGTCTTCTTATCAGCTACGCATAAACCTACTACCATTTAACCTTCATGAAGGTATCAGCAAAATTTTAAAATATTAGGCTGTATTTCTGGAGGAAAATATTTCCACAAACTCCACACTCCAGCACTCAAAATTCATAGACTGAACAGCAAGAGTATACCTAAGTATAATTAAATGAATAGCACCTGTATCCAGAGAATTCTTCCCCAGTCAGCAATTTCTAATCACTTTCAGAGAAGCTGTGATTTCTATGATAGCCGCACTGTTACCTTGCTCTTCCATTAAGTCACAATACTATCATTTTCTAATTATGCTTAGGATTCCAAATTCAGTAAACCTTTGTGCTCTGCATTAATATAAAAGCCAGATGATCTCATAACAAAGGGCTTTTTAATACATATATAAACATTTAGGGCACACGATGTACCTATCCCAGGCATACACTGTATTCGAAACAACAAAAACCATGGGCACACTGAACGCAGATTTATAATAAAACAGGTATTTGTTCGAAGTCTACAATATCCAAGTTCAAAATGCTCTTAAAATAACCCCCCCCCCAAATAAAAACATTGAGGTATCATGAAGAAAGAAATTACACACTCAGTGCTTTTAGAGAGTTTACAGTCTTCAAAGCATTCTCTAGATGTTAAATCCTAAATAAAAGCTTGAAAACTTCCATGAAAAAAAAAACCCTCACTGAGAAAGACAATCAGAACACATATATAAATCCCATATCATACAATACTATATTTAGGTACCCACACTTTTTAATGTGAAAAATGTGGAGAACAGATCACAGACAATAAGTAGAAGTACAAGCAACCTGTAGCCCTGCACGACTAGATTAAACTAAAAATTCTTCCATTTTTTATTTTTGAGTAAATAAATGTATTTGTAAATTTTTATTATACGCTGAAATGCAGTCTTTAAATGATCTAACTTGTAGAGAGAACTGCAGGCATTCTGATACGAGAGCTGACTCCATGTGCTCTGGAGCTTTAACAGGCAACTTCACAACATCTTTATGTGCTTACATAAAAGAACGACTACGTGCTAGTATCAACCTCGGGGTTTTGCCTCCTAATCTTGGCAGGGTTAAAAGACATCTTAGGAGCGTATGCTATTAATATGTAAGGATATTGCTCCTGATAGTTCATACAGAGGCTTCGTATTGATTTTGTGTGGTGTCCTGCATTCCTGCACAAAATAATCTCTGCCCTTCCTCCACTTCACATGCTCCCCCAGCAAGGTGTTGCACTGCAGTTTATACTCCACCTACTGAGGAAGACTAGACAGAACTGCACTTGAAGCTACGTGTGTTACTCCTTGAACAGTCAGAGGAGTCAGTGTTGAGCAGCACAAGCCACTACTCTCTTCAGGTGCCAAGGACCTAAAAATACACCCGAAAAGCATCAATAAATTAAAGAAAAGCATTCAACTTGCACTTATGTAACAGAAAACCGAACTACAAAGCAACAATGGGCATCAGGTAAATGTATCCAATACAATTTGCAGGCATAATTGAAAGCATTACTGCCTAATCAGACATCTAAAAGCAAAGCATGCTCAAACGAAATGTCTATAGACTCATTAGTTGGCAGCCATTCCATTACAATCACACATAATGTCAGTAGTGCCTTGAACCTGTGCCAATGACAACAGCATAAATTTTGCATCTCATTTCTGTGGTCATAAAATTAATGATCAGTTTAAAAATACTTCTTTGCAAAAGTTATTGCACAAAGAAATGACATGAATGTGTCCCTGTTATGTATTCATAAGGATAATTAAGGAGTTGATGCTCATTAATATAGTTTCTTGTTTCCCCAGAATACCATATGATTTATCTGGAAGTTGAAAAAAAAAAAAAAAAGTTTAATTAACAGTAGACAGTTAACAGTTACAATAACAAAAATATGTATATGACCTGACCATATTCTCCAGTTTCTGCATTTTAAACTAACCTCTTACAGGTTTGATAGCAGAATCAATACTTCACATTATCTGTTAAAAAAAAACTCATACAATGTCTCTCCTTATTAAATGCTACCTTTTCCATTACAGCTTATTTATTGATTCAGGAAACAATGCATACCAAAGGGTAAGTGTACCGCATTAGGAACACAGCATACAGCAAACTCTCCTCATTGCAACAAGACCTTCACTTCAGTCCCTGCCCCCTGTTCTGGAAATTTCCAACAGATTTAGTTGGTACAAGCTGAACATAACGAACAGGACCATATTATTTTATAAGAATCTAGTTTAAAAAAAACAACTAGACTTTTTTTCCTACAATAATTCACTTTCTTCTGCAACAGTGTGATAATAGTGATGAATTCCTAAGCATTAAAGATACTGCTTCCGCCGCTGAATCTAAAAATGAGCAAGCAAGATGTTTCAACTAACGCCTCTGAAAGAGACTTGCTAGCTCGCATCCTCACATGACTAAAAACTTTCAATTTATTTCTAAAAGAAGTCCAGAGTGATACATTAAAATTGCTCAAGTATATGAGAAATAAAACAACTCACAAAAATAAAGAGACATGCAGGTCGAAACACCTCGCTGCTTGACATTTCAGAAGGTCCCAGATCGCAGCAGGCTGAAATCACTTCCTCCTCTCCAATCTCTGCCACGGTAAGAATCCACCAAACAAAGGACTGGACAAAGCCACCAAACACCTAAATGCAAGGTTCTCACTATGTGTTTTTTCGCAAAAATAACTAGGCAAAGTTGCTTTCAAGCTGGCACAAGTATACTTTAGCTCCTTGGTAGCTGCAGCTGATTTTTTAAGATGTTGCTACTGACCCAATCCACCAGTCACCTTGCAAGACTGGATTCTTCTGACAGCCACTTTTTCAATGTATGCTTTGCCATGCGATCTGCTCCGACACACTCATTCCTGAAGAGTCTTCCAGAGTCTCGTATCAATATGATGGTTTTTAATGGCTTGTTTTGTAAAGGTCAAGTAGCAATCCTTTAGCAGCTATTTGTTAAAACAATATTGAAACAGCATTAGGTTTGTAAGCAAATACGCTTCAAGCAAGAAAGGCAACACAACTTTTACTTGCTGAGCTGCCTCTCATTCTGATGATGCACATCAGGATAAAACCATTTTTGTCCTGCGCTGGTGGCTGTATCTTGTGCTGCTTGAAATCGCACTTGGCATGGACACTTCACAACGAACAGCTGCGTGTAGCCGTAAGGGATAACACAGCGACTTGCCTACAATGAAACCCTCCAGACTTCCAGGGCAGAGTGATATTTTGCACACTTCTAATGCATCTGATGGTCTCTCCAGAAGTACGTCATGATGATCATCAAAGGACTGCCTAACAACTAAGCCATGTCTTTCCCATTTACGGTTAAATACTAACGACGTACTTATGCTCCTGACTAAAAGCTCAAGTGTGTTAAAATATAGAACTCATATCCACATACCGCTCTGATGGCCACAACCTACTGCCTCCCTTTCTCAAGTCCAAAAAGACTCCTAACCCTGCTGCCACTTCCTGAAAAACAGAGCGTGCAGAGACAGAAACAGAAATTTCACCTCCACAGTAAAAAAGAAAAAACACCAAAAAACCCACCATCAAACAGAAAATACAAAGCGTTTGCATATAGTGCTGCTCTACCACCTTGACGATTTCCAGCAAGCAGATCCAGACACCCAGTGCTCTGCCAAGAGCCAAAGAGCCATCCGAGTCATTTAAAGGTTTCCTGCGGGTGCTCCCAATAATTACATAGAAAGCACCACCGACGCTCTAGAGATGCGGGTTTATCTTCTATTCTACTACAGTGAAATGAAAATGAAAGTGGGCCTTCACCAGTTTTTATCAGACTGAAAAGTGGTAGCTAGCAAATGTCACATCATGCTTCTCTGCATAAATAGTGCCAAAGTCGTGTGCTCCACATCACATATAAGTTGCACCGAGTGCTTTATGAAGAACCTGCTCTGCGAATTCCCATACTATGACTCGATTTGGCAAGTACTTTCAGTGTCTCACTTTCAACACTGAGCCAAAAACCTTTGTGAAAAGTGATTAAAAATATATATTTTATTAAAATAAATGCAAAGAACAGATGGCAAGTGAGCTCCAAACACAAGTACAGTTTCTAGGGCTTATGGTGCTTCTGCCAACTTTAGTGCTATTTTTAACATAAATTGAAAACAAGGTTCTTTTAACTAAACGTTTTGGCAGCCATGGTATTGATTCAATTAATCTCAAAACAGAGAAATGCCAAAAACCATTTTAACTCAGAATCTTTGACAAGGTCCAGACTATTCTATCCTTAGCGGAATACTAGTCTTCTGAAAAATGAACCCAATTTGTATGAAAATTATCTTAGTTTTCAAGTTCCTTCCCAATTCTAAAGATCTAGAACAGGTCACTTTGAGTGCGACTATGGCTTTTTGGTTTTGCTTAAACTGCTCAGATGAAGAGTCAAACAGTTCAAATGAAAAGAAGAAAAAGCAGCAGTGTCTAACAGAAAAAGACATTTCTACCAAGTTCCTTAATTTAAGAATGAAATAAATATAATAGGTGTTTAATAACTTAATAAACAAAAATAAAATTTGTGGAAAGATTAGTGGTCTGGATATTAATATAATTGTACATTTTTGGTCATAAGAACAACATGCACTTTCTTTGTCCATAAAGGAATATGACACTTAAGTGTAAGAGTCAGTGTAAAATCAGGTAACACGTCACACATGAAAATTTAATATTTTCCTGTACAATGAATTTCATGTCTTCAATTTTCACGTGTAGCCACTTCCCCTAAAAAGCTTTATTTTTTTCAGTGTGTTGACACAAAAGATGCTTTTGCCAGCACATTTACTGACCTGACAGACAAGATAAAAAGGCTTCTTATGAAGAGGATGCAAGAAAGTCCTCAAGTTCATCAGTCTGGTTACGAAGAAGTACAAATGCCCTTTCAGAAAGTTAGAGGTATACACATGAATGATTCTGGTGTCAAACTTATGTACTTGTGCACATCATCGTCAATTTCTTTTTAATTCTTCTTTTAAATCTCCTTGCCTTATCTTTACAGAAGGTAAGATACTGTATGCTAGCGGCCAAAGGCCATACAAGAAGAGCTCACAGACAACATGTTGGTCAAACTGACTAGTCACTACACGCAGCCAGTGAAACTTCAAGAACATGCAATGATGAAAGAGAGTGGAGTGACAAGCTGATGGCCACAAAGCATACTTGCAGAACAGCTCACAAACTGAAGGAGCTGTTGTTTGAGTGACAACAGCCAAGTTTCATTTTGCTATACAGGAAATATATCAATTTTCAAAGTGTTAGTCTACTTCTTTTGGCCTCCAAAAGATTCTTCTGGATGCCTCAAAGGATGACAGGTCACAACTCACTTGTGAGTTGTGAGACTCTTGAAAACAGCTGATATAGAATGATAATTTATGTAGTATAATAATTACTATACCATGATGATAATATGGCACATAGTATGAATCAGTCTTCATCCTTCCTTTCGGCTACAACAAAGATTATTTTATATGCATTAAAAAAAAATGGAGTAACTGCTACCGCAAAACAAAGAACAGCAAATATGAAGTTTAAATGTGCACAGTAGTTTTTATTCTTCCTAGTCTGCTTCAGTGCAGTTTCCACATTTCTGCTTCCACCTCTGCTTTTTTCCTAAAAGATATTCTCCTTTTTCACTTTATATTTTGGGATATTTCTTCTTCCTCTGGAGGAGGGAGGAATAGGAAAATGTCTGACTATCACTGCCACCTCGCTTTTTAATCTTTTCTCAAACTTTCCATTTTTCATGTGTCTACATGTGCAGAGATATGAATGGGCACAAAGTTGACCTCACTCAGCTACTGCCGCCGCTTTGTTACCCCAGTAGCTGGCCAAGAATCTGACTGCTTACCTGCCTCCATGTGGGTCCTTTGTTCTATATCTGCACAAGTCACGCCTAATTTGTACAGGTCTAAGGTAAGAATGACACAACCAAATAAAGTTTAGCACATACTTTTGAAGGCTGGAAATTATACCAACCACTCATACTATTGAACCACATTCCCTCAAATACTTTGCAAATAAGTGCATGATCCCTTTCTCGTGAATTTTTCATATTCATGCATGGAAATGCATATGAATTTGGAGACATTTATCCTCACCTGCAGAAAACAATGGTATAACTTTAGAGCCCTCTCATTTTATTGACAAATACTGAATTAAAAAAGTGTCAACATTCACAAGCTCCACCATTTGTACACAGTTCTGAACCAAAGAGATACATCGTGATGATTCAAAAAAAACACAAAATATCTTTCTTAAGTATCAAATACTGAATACAATTTTCACAGAAGTCAGAGCAAGTTATACAGCAACAGTTACAGACTATATCAATTAAATCATCCATTTTGCTGAAGGTAATGGAACCTCACCTCTATTAATAATTTGTTGAATCAGAAAAGAAATTCTGAATCAAATTGCCAATGAAGAAAGCAAACAGATTAGAATTTTCTTGACCTTCAAAAAAAACTAACCAGCAAATGCAAACTTCTCTTTGTAGAGAACTCTCATGTTTACTAGAGTCATAGCCTCAGAAAGTTACTAAATCTTCAAAAACATGCTCTCCAGAAAGTCAGATGCATATGCAACGAAACAACCATCCCACCTAATTTCATGTTCATAATTTTCTTAATAAAGTAACATTTGACTTGTCCACCCTTAGTTCTGCTGGACAGTGAGGAGAGGAGGGAAAATACATTTTAATTTCAGTAAGGGTGCTGAGGTGCAATATACAAAAAATAGCAAATTATTTTAATACAATTTTTAAAGAATGCCATACTTTGAGTTTACAAAATCTTGGCAATCTTTGGTATGTTTCAAGTTGTATTTTCTCTTTCAGTTGAACTGTTATGGCTACACGACTTAAACAGGAATACACAAACTTGTTGTGCCTTGTTATAACGTGACTTGCCTAACACAACTTACATATTTCCACTTTATCGGGGGGGACACTGTAGCCCACACACTGGAACCTCCTTGTCCAGAAACAGACAGCTCTTCAACCACTGCAAAAAGTGAAGCTTTGCACAGGCTTTTTTGACCTCGCGCTGTGACCCTCATACCAGCACCCACAGGCTGTAGGTCACGACCCCACGAATCAGCATCATGGAAATAAGAGCCCTTCCAGGTTTAGTTACGCAACGGAACGCCATAGCAACAAACCCCTCAGCCCTCTCTAAACCCAACGCTGTGGCTTTGTCTTAACTGCACTAGAAGACAACAGATAACCCACACTTCAGTTCTCACTGCTCGCACACTAAATCGCCTCCTCTCCAACTGCAGGCCCCACCCGAGCTCCGGCTGCACTGGTGAAGCATCCGCCCAGCGCGGGTCGAAAGCCAACACCGTACTGCCATGAGGCGATCCCATTAAACGCTTAACGAAACGTCACCGTGCAATCGAAGACTTTTGCAGCGTTCAGAAAAAAGGCTGAAATAAGTTATCCCTATTAAAATTTTAATCAGTAAGCTCTATTTATACGAAATCTTGAACTATATCTCTAAATCAGTCTCTCCATCCCGTTTCCCGAGGGAAGCGGGACCCAGCGGGGGGGGCGTGGGGGGAGGGGGGAGAGAGACCAAAATAGCGGGAGGTTTACCTTTATCCTGGAATTCTTGAGGATAACTGCGGAAAGAAGAAGAAACAAGATGAAGCAATGCACGCTTGCAAACCCCCAGATTTCAACATTCGGCAGTTGAAACCGAGTGCTGCACGTTTTCCCAAATCATTTTTTCAGTCTTTATTTTTGGCTAAAGTGGTTGCTCAGGTTTTCTTTTCCTTCGCAGTTGAGAAAATCCCCAGTCACTTTAAAGAAGACTTGAACAAAAACAACTCCAAGGAGCCTTTTCTAGGCATATACATCCACCCAGGTGTTTTAAGGTATAAACATACGAATGCGTCTAATTTTAGCAAACCTTCCCAACATTAATACATTTCCAAAAGTTTTGTGCACAAGTAAAAGCCACTAAGCACACCTTAAAAATAACATGGTAGGTCAGCAGG